CTGAGCGGACGAGTGACGAGCCGTGGCTGCGGCTTGTCGGGTGACCCGGTGGGACAGAGCTGCCTGCAGGTACGGGGGGAGCCGGGCTGGCGTCAAACAGCGGGGCTGGGCAGCGGTTCCAGGCGGCCCAAGCGGCTGTTGCGTCCCCGGGCGCGAGCCTGAGCCCCCCACGGGGCAGTCGGACCCCTCCAGGGCACAGGCAGAGCTGCTGCCCTCCCCTGCTGCCGGCCACCTTCAGCCATCCGGCTGTGGCCAGTGTGGCCTCGCTCGGACGTCACAGCGGGAGAAGCTTTTTCCACTTCCCTGGCATTAATTTAGCTCTGGGGGTGGGCATAGGAAGGAGGTAGCTGTACTGCATTCTAGGCACCGAGAGAAGGTGGTGGGCGCTTTCCCGTGGTGGAGGGACATGGTGGGAGGCACTGCTGTGGGCGGCCCCATGATCTGCTGGCAGGTGTTAAGGATGCTGGCACGGCGTTTGCTCTGCTGAGTGCCACAGAAGAAGCAGTGCCTACGAGGTGGGCGAGCACTGGAGTGCAGTGGCGCACGCCAGATGGTGCGGGAGAGATGCGGTGATGGGAGCCAGTGGTGTTTGCAGCCAGGCAGAGAGAAACAAGGTTTGGAGACAAAGAACTGAGGTGATGGAAGGGCTGCGGGGGGCAAAGCTTCTGCTGCCAAAACCTGCCTCGACCCTTCTGATGGGGTGCCTGGCTCTGTGGCAGGGCCAAGTGGTGTGCTCTTATTCCTGGGAGCTGCCATGGAGATGGGTAAGAAGAGCCGGGCTCCTTCAGGCCATGTGTGTGGGCAAAGCCCTGCAGCATGCAGAAGCTGAAGATCGTGACGAGACCCTCGGCACCTTCCTCCGCCTTTGATCCCTGGGGACCCCCATGGATGGGGGTGTAAGGAGGAGCCTGCGCGATTGGGGCTCCAGGTGGGATGCACCAAGCCTGCGCATCACACTGCTGCTCCCAGCTCCAGCTGTCCCAGTTTTGACTGTCAGGAGCTGCCATTAACTCAGGTTTGCTTTGTCTTTTTGAGACGCAGCCAAGGAGCTGTTCTATGGCAGCCTTTGCATATGCTGTCTTGCAGCTTCTCAGGGAGCTGGCCCCCAGGGCTACAGCCACACTGTGAAGAGCTGCTCCCCTGGGTCCACACCAGTGGAAGATCACATTGGAAATGTCTTGCAGTGGCGGCAATGCTTTCCAACCTGGGGGCTTGGGGACTCCAGCTTGCTCTTGGCCACCTGGGAAGGGAAGTCCTGGCAGTCAAATTGCACAGGAGCACATCTCCTTAATGCCACCAGGCCGAGCTTCAGTGCCTTGTCCTTGGGGAGCCTGGGACTCCCATCCCCAGCCACCTCCACCCTGCATGATTGCCAGCTGCATCCTTCCAGCTTGCTGGTCCCATCTGATGCCAAGGGCTTTCCTACTTCACAGTTGGGGCGCAGGCTCGTGGTGGCAGTGTTCTGCCACGCTTATTGCATGGAGCGTGCCATCTCTGGTGGGCTGGGAGCAGTTCAGGGCCTCAGCACTGGGGAGAAGATGCACATGGCATCCATCGGTGCAGCCAGGCAGGCAGAAGCCGAGCTGCTGCTGCTGCCAAATCTGCCAACAGCGTCCCTGCTAGAAAAGGAGTAGTGATGAAAAACACCCCTTGCCAGCATCCTGGAAAAAAATGACTCGCACTTGTGCAGTGGCTTGGCCCCAGGTGGCTGCTGGTGGAGGTGGCCAGCAGTGACGCATTCCTGTTGGAGCTGGGCCAGTGGACCGCCAGAATTTGGCCTTGCCGGGGGTGAGGTTCTCCAGGCCCTGCTGGGACCTTGACTCCTTCCCACCCCAGACCGAAGCTCCTGTCCCCAGGTCTGCAGCCCTTCCTTGGAGGGGAGAACGTGCCTCCCTGAGGAGAGAGGCTGGTGGTTGGGAAGCAGATCCCAAGCCCTGCAGTGGGAACCCTCACTTCATTGCTCAGCTGATGCTACTTCAATAGCTGGGTTGGGGGGGGTGTCTCAAAGCTCCTGCAGAGGGGACAGATGACAACCAGGTCGTGGCACCTTATGCTGGAATCGGTCCCAGGCTTCCAGTGGGTTGGGTGGCTTCCCAGAACATCCTGAAACTCCTGTGGCTGTGAAAAAGGTGCTAAAATGCTGCTTTGCTGCCTGTGCGGGTTTCATTCCCGATAAACTGGTTTTGGGGGAGAAGGGTTTCTTCTATTTCAGCTGTACTGCAGCAGGGTGAAGCAAGGCCGAACCCTCCCAGCATCGCAGTGCACTGCCGCAGCCCATTGTGCAGGGCGGCTCTGGACTGACATTTGCCAATGCTGGTCGACATGTCACTGGTCAGGGGAAGACGCTTGTCCGGCAGCGATTTGCAGTGATGTTTTAAGCCCAGTTTGCAAAGCCAAATGTCAGCACAAGTGCCTGTAGGGGCTTTCATCTGGGAGGGAGGCAGGGAGAGGGTCTCTGCCTGTTTACACAGGTACTGGAGGTAAAAGCTCTTTTCTGGCTGGGAAGGTGTTCTCTGAGTGCATCTGGGTTTTCCAGGGGACCACACCTTGCTCGGCAAGCCAGATGCCAGAGTTTGGACATGCTGCTGAATATTGTGTTACAGCATCACAGGTGCGCTTTTTTCTATGGGGCTGAAAGGCTTTTCACCCCCCTCTTTGTTTTTCAGGACATGCAAGAGAAGGAAACTGTCACCCCTGAGAGAGCAGAAGAGGCAAAACTGAAGGCCAAATACCCCAACCTAGGCCAGAAGCCTGGAGGTTCCGACTTCCTCATGAAGAGACTGCAGAAAGGGGTATTTATTTCTTAGCCATGGCTCATTCGCGTTCTCTCCTCCCTCAATGGCACAGGCAGCCAAGCTCCAACCAGGCCAGAGGAATCACACCAAAATTCCCCAGGCCAAAAAGTCTGTTGAACCCATGGGCCAGGCTCTTTTCAGTGCCTGTGCTGGATGTGGCACCCAGCTGGAACAAGCCTGAAGCAGCGAGGGCTGCTGTGGTCAAGCAAGAAGGGCTAGTGCCTGCTCAGAACCCAAAAGCTGCAGCCTCTTGGTTGCTTTTGCTCTGCGTATCCCCCCCAGAGGTGGATCCTACCCTGTCCTCCACACCCTGGCCCAAAACCTGGGGTCTAGAGGTGAAATGAGTGCATAAATCCCCCCCTGCCTGCTGCTGTGCTCCCTGGGGTTCAGTGGGCCACTGAGATGCTGCAGGCCTGAGTTTTTCTCTCTGGTCTGCACTTTGCCTGGTTTCTTCACTGGTGCAAAAGGCACTGAGAATGCCAGTGAGTCAGCTGGCTGTATCTCCATCACTGGCACCAGTGTAAAAAACCAACATTCTGACTGTGCTCCCTGGAAATGTAATTAAATCCCTCTCTGAGAGCCATCTGTAGCCTGCTTGGGTTGTCACTGCTGGCTCTCCTCCTTGTGGAAGCTGGTGCAGAAAACATAAATTCCTCCTGAGTTGCTGGCAGCCAGTGGCCATGTGCCTTCCCCAGCTCTGAACACACGATGTCTCCTGGTCACACTGCTCGGGGTTTGGCTCTGTCCTGCTGCTTCCGTTTCAGCTTGTAATGACAGGTGTCCCCTCTGCCTGGGCAGCTGCCGTGGGCGCTTGCTCTCACTGTTGATGTGATCACTGGGACTGTTATTTTAGGTACCGGTTCCTAAAACAAGCACAGAAAGGAGGGTTGTTTAATGGCTTGGCACTGAAGCGGGGCAGGGCTTTTTGTCAGGACTAGGCTCATTGGGGCCTGACAGTGCATTGGGGTGGAACTGGGCTCTTAAGAGCTCCTTATGCCCAGCAAAGCCCTGACTGTAGCACCGGCATAAGCTCTGCTTTGGTGTTCAGCCTTTCCTACACCGCTGTGGGGGGAGAAGGAGCACAGAGTCCCATGGTGATGTGTGCGATAAGGGAATGAAATGCCCTTTGAACCCTAGGTCAGTGGTGCTGTGCAGCAGGGAGGTGTCCTCTGGCCACGTCTTTGCAGCCATTTCCCTGCATTGTTTTAGCTGCTGGGAGCCTGGGCAGTCCAGTGAAGGCCTTGGCACTGGCCAGGCTGTACTCCCCAGGGAGAAAATCGTGCCTCTGTCACACCAGCTCATCTGTTCACCAAACCAGAATAAACTGTATTGGCAAATGTCCCCTGGCTTTCCTACTGGAGCTGAGCCTCTGCCTGGAGGCATCTGCTGACGTGGCTGTGCCTACGTTCAGCTGTCTGGGGGTCTCTGGACTGGGATTGAATCCCTGTCACGCTGAGTGTGGTACAAGGGCAGGGCAGGAAAAACCTAGTCTTTACTCAGCAAGTGCCACACCAAGCAGCAAAAGTTCACAGGCTACAAACATTCAAAGGTGGGTCAAAGGGAGAAAATGCACCCTGGTGTCTTGAGTCAGACAGGCGGCTGCTGTGGGGCAAAGCTTCTTCCAGCTGGGGCAGATCTGAGTCACTCTGGGTTTGTGGGTGGGTGCTAAAGGCCTTTTAAATTGGGCCAGGCTGCCTTGCTTGGATTTTCCCTTGCATAATGTTTTTGTGACCTGGTTTTGAGCAACCCTAGCAGCTCCTTAAAGGATCATATTTGTGGCCAGGTGTCTGTATCTCTGCTGTGTCCCTACACTCCTGCAAATCACAGTAACCCAAACACCTCTCCCTCTTCCAGCAAAAATACTTCGATTCTGGTGACTACAACATGGCCAAGGCAAAGATGAAGAACAAGCAGTTGCCAAGTGCAGGGCCAGACAAGAACCTGGTGACAGGAGACCACATCCCCACGCCACAGGACCTCCCGCAGAGAAAATCCTCGCTTGTAACCAGCAAGCTGGCAGGGTAGCCTGTGCTCACAGGCTGGGTTTTTTCCTATTTCCTTTTTTTGTTTTGGCTAAATGGATTGAACTTCACTGTACCATAGGGATGGGAGCACCAGAATCCACATAGTTATTTGAGTATTTACAGCAAACACACACTGAAACTGTGTTTCAGTGAGAGGCGAACAAGAGGTGTCAGTAGCCTGGGATGCACAGGCAGATTTGATTGGGCCATTCCCTTTAGCAAGTCAGTTTGCTGCCTTAATTTTCATGCTGTTTGAAACCATCCTCGCTTGCAGAGCTACTGATGCACTGCCTCCTTGCCTGGGAGTCAAGCAGCCCCAGGAGAAGCAGGAAAGTGCTCAGAGGAGTTGCTTGCGGTTTGCTTGGCGCCGGTAGGAGAGGAGAGCTCAGAGCTGTGGTGTGTGAATGCTTTTCAGGTGTTGGGTGTCTGCAGGGGAAGAACTGGCTGGGCAAAAGGTGTGATACATGATCTGGAAGTTTAAATAGGTGTGTGCGTTAGAGCTTCTAAGTCAAGAAATTAGCTGATATGCAAAAAATTACATGGCTGTGTTGCTGGGCTGAGCTGCCTGGGATCTGTCCCCTGCTTGCACAAAGCAGCTGAGGTTGCAGGAGGGGACGATGCATCTGATGGTTGCAGGAGAGGGGCCAGGCAGTGTTTGAAACAGTCCTTGTGGCTTGGAGCTGTGATGGGGCATTTGCTGTTTTGGGGGTATAGCCCCACCACAGCTGCATCCAAGTGCAAGGCACAGTGTGAGGCTTGCAGCTGCCCCAGAGGGTTTGTGGGCAGTTTCTGTCTCCCTGGTCACTTCTGGCCAGTGATGCTGGCTGCCTTGGCAAGGGTGAGAGATGGTGCCTCTCCCAGCTGCCAGGTAGGCAGCAAAGGTGGTGAGCTGAATCCCGCCAGCAGCAGGGTGCTTGGCACGCAGGAGAGTGGCCAGACGGGCAGGCAGACCCCTGTCTGGTTGCATGCAACCCATGCCTGATGCCCAGAGTTTTGTGCTTGCAAAGTAGGGGCCAGCAGCAGCCTGTGAGACAGATGTGAGCTGTTAGAGCTGATCTCTGAAGGGAGAGAGGCAGGACTGGGAATAACCACCCCGGAAGGGAAAAAAGCACCAGAGACAGAGATGAGGAAGAGAGGAGCATAGAGGCAAACCTGTGTTGACAGTGTCAGGCACCCCAAGCTGGGGTTTCTTTCTTTTTTCTCCTTTTTTTTTATTCCTCCTTTTCTTTGTTCCAGGCCTGAAAAATAACACCCAAACAAAACAACAACAACAAAAAAAACCAAAACAAAAAAACCCAAAACAAAAGGTTGGTGTGATGGCAGCAGCCTGCAGAATGATGTGCACGCTTGGTGTGTGTACTGTCCGCTCCTCATGCAGTGGAGATGAAGTAGACTCCCCTCCTGTGCAGTGGAAGGTCTCAGCATGCCTGTGCTAGGGCAGTGCTAAACCTGCCCAGTTTAGGCCTAGTTTTGAAGGCATGTGGGTAAAAGGAAGTCAAGTGGATGTCTTTTTTTTTTTTTTATTATTTTCTTTATTTTTAGGGATTCCCATCAGGTGGGGAGAAACCAAGGCAGGGAGGCAATAGGTGATGCTCTGCATGGGCACAGCTTTCCTTATGTGCATTCTTGGCTGGCTGACTCAGGGTTTCCTGAGAACCTGTTTCATTCATCATGCTTTCCTGCTGCTGGCCGGAGTGAGGAACGTGGTGTTGCTTCCCAGGAGAGTGTTTGCCAAGGGTGTGCTCAAATGCTTGCGTTTGCCTTCAGGTGGTTTGGAGCAAGCCAGCTGCAGCTCCACTCATCAGGGCACAGTGAGCAAGGGGCTCTGTTGCCATCCCTGTGACTGCAGAGGACAGTTTTCTCTTTGTGGAGTGTGCAAGGAGCGTAGCAGGATTGGGGGTTGCCCGCTTGTAACCGCAGGTCTGTGTTTCGGTCTCTGTCACCTTTCCAGACCCTGTGTGACCTGGCCGGGGTGGTGCTGGCAGTGGCTGTGCAACTTCCTTGGATGTTCTGCTGTCTGTCCCAGCCATGCTGTAAATAGATATTAATCATATATATAAATATATATATAATTTTTTACATGTTCATCTCTCCTCTCTTTTAGAGTGCTATGTTGTTTTGTGGGGGTTTTTTTGTTTGTTTTTTTTTTTAAAAAGAGGAAATAGTGAAGAATGCAAAGGGGTGTTGCAGCTTGGGGGCTGCCCCTGTGCTGAGAGGGGCAAGAGGGAGGGGACAGCTCTCAAACCACACCTTTCCCTGGTTTTCTGAAATGCCAGGCGTGCTTGCGCAGGAGGGGGAAGTGATTGTCAGGACACAGGATGAGAACTAGGAAGAGCAATTTACAAGAGTAGTAGCCATGGAGCAGGGTTATTTGCATTCTGCCCCCAGAGCCAGGCAGGCAGCAACGGTGATGATGCTGTCTGCCCTGCTGCCTGCCTCGTACAGGAAGGGGCGCAGTGGGAACTGCCCTCGATCTGGGAGGCATTCGCATTCTCATCCTCTGCTTGTAAAATATTACCACAAGAATGAGGCTGGTAGTGGTGGGAGGCTTGATGCCCCCAGGGCTGTTGGGGTGAGCCAGCAGGAAGAAAGATGTTTAGCACCAACTATCGGGGTGTCTGAGGGACTTGTGCGGTTGGAGCAAGGTCATCAAAGTGCAGCTGTGGGGTGGGATGGGGCACAGAGGGAGGGCTTGGGCTCACTGAGCCCATGTGGGGTTTTGTTGAGGCAGGGAAGGCAGGTGTGGCCATGCTCCTGTACCCCAGGGATGGGCACTGGGTGGCAGAGGGCATATGGAGAGACCCCAACAGCCTCGGGAAAATTGCTCAAAGCCCCTGCTTGCTTCCTCCTCCTTCAGGGCTCATTTCAGCTACTGCTGTGCAACACCTCCCCCAGCCTGGATATGTGAGCAGTGTGGTACCCTTCTCTGCGGGCTGTGTGGAGGCTGTGGAGTGTCTGTGGGGCTGTCCCCCAGCAATGGAGCCATGGGGTGTACATGGGGTTCATCCCCAGCTATAGGGTGTATGGAGAGCTGACCCCCAGCAATGGGGCTGTGGTCTGTGCAGGGGGCCAACCCCTGGCAGTGGGGCTGTGGGGTGTTTGTAGGGCTGTCCCCTGGTGATGGGGTCTGTGGGGTGTGTGTGGGCTGAACCCCAGCTATGGGGGCGTGTGCTGGGCCATGGGTTCTCCATGGGCTGTCCCCCAGGGATGGGGCCATGTGGTACACGTAGGGTTCTGGGGTGTGTACGGTGGTCATGGTTTAACCCCTGTGTGTTGGGTGGGTGTGGGGTGTATGGGGGACATCACCCAGCAATGGGGCCATGGGGTTTATCAGATGTGTGTGGGCTGGGGTTGGGGGGGCATGGGGTCCATCCCATTGCACAGCCACAGGGGCTAAGTGGGGCCAGCAGCCACCTTGGCTCACAGCTGAGAGACTCGGGGTGAGCACAGGAGAAGGTGGTTTCTATCCTCCTGCCTTCAAACCAAATCCCTGCCCCCCCCTCCCCCGCCTCCATGCCGTGGGGCAGGGGCTCCCAGTGCCCTCCCCAGGGGTCAGGGCTGCCTCACAGTGACATCCTCCCACTGTGGCTCCCTCTGTCCCCACTGGCAGCCATCCTGGAGGCTTTAACTCCAGGATTTTCAGCCTTGACATCACACCTTTCCTTTCTAGAGTTTAACAGCCCAACTGATGGTGTCACCGGGGTGGGCCACTGTTCAAATGAACCCACTGACCCTCCCTGGGGCTGCCTGAAGCCTCTGTGCTGCATCTTCCCCCCTGGCCCAGTTGGCCATTTTGCAGGCCCTCAAGCCCACATCACAGTGGGGGCCAGGGCCGGGTGTTTGCACAGGGACATGCTGTTCCAGCCTGGTGCCAAGTATGTGCTGGTGTTTGTGCTTTAAAGCTTGGCGCTGCTGAGGAAGTATGTGCTGGGCGCTGCCCCAAGCTGCCGGATCAAGCCGAGCTCGCCTCTGTTATTGCTACTGGTGCCAGGAATTTGCTTCCCAACAAGGACACATTCCTTGGGGCCACAGGAAGGATTTTGAGGGGGCCGGGTTTCATCTTGCTGGACCCCAGTGCAACCCAGTCGCACTCTTGCCCTGGTTTGTGGGGGTGGCAGCTGGGAAAGGAGCTGGCAAGGGGGTAAAGGGGCACCCAGAGTTGATGCATGCCCCTGTTTCTTGTAAGATGTGAGGCAAGAGCACTTCGGGGTAGTTGGGATAGGGCTGTGCCCTGTGCTCACTGCAGCTTCCTCCTTTGCTGTTCCCACTGGTGCATGGTGATGCTCAGGATGGTGACAGAGGTTTGGCTTTGCTGCAGTTTCTGTCCCCAAAAACACTGACCAGAGCAGGGCTTCTTCATGGTGGCAGCTCCCCATGTCCTCATTGCCTCCCTGGAGCGGTAAGACCCATTTGAGAAGATGTGCTGGTGTTCTCTCCTCGCATCTAGTATTTTGTCCCCACGTCTGGGTTTCCCTGTCTTGCTCTTGTCACGTCTCAGTTCGGTGATGCTGCAGCGCCTCGCATTAGCTGGGTGACTTGGGGCTGACGTCACCTTCCCAGGTGGGGACCAGGGCTCTGCTACCATGAGGTATTTTGGTGGCCTTTGGATGGCGCAGTGGTGCAGAGAGGCCCCAGCACGCATCCCTAGTGTTCCTGGCCTGGCCACCTGTGTGCCATCTGCCATCAGGGCCTGCAAGAATACCCTTTCCCACCTTCAGAGAGGGTAACTGGGGGTGTGAATTCTGGGGACCCCAAACCCCAATTTCCAGTGTCTTGGATCTGATTAGGCACAAAATGTGCCTAACTGCACTGGTGCTTGGCTCCGCAGGTGGAAATCCCCCACGTGTGAGCTCTGCAGGACAGCAGCCGTTCCCGTACCTGTGCCTCTCTCTCCATCTGAGCCTTTCTGAGAGGTGGGGATGGAGTGGAGCGCAGTCCCTGGGATACAGCCCTGGCAAAGGGGCGCTTGGGAGACCTTTTGTTCCTCACCACCTCAGAGCAAAGCTGTGGCATTTGCCTTTCCAGGGAGTCTCTGATCCACCTGCATTGGCACAGGTCCCTGTGGCTTCTTCCCCAACCAAGTTTTGCCCAAACTGGGGCATATTTTGAGGGCATCACCCTCAGTCCTAGGTTGGTGAAGGAGGGACCTGTGGCCAGGGAAGACTGGAATTGAGAGCCAGTGCCCCAGCAATGCTGAGACTGGCCAAAGTGCCCACGGGGTGTCCCAGGCAATGGATTATGGCAGAGCAGGTCTGGCCTCCCCGGGGCACCCACCAGCCCTTTCACAACCTAACCTGCGCTGGATCCTGCCGGCAGCCCGAAGGGCATGAGGCGATGCCCTGCTTTGTGACCCCACAGCCCTCACAGAGCTGGCAGATGCAAGGAGGCTTTGAGTAACAGGAGAGATGTGAGGCAACCCACCGATGACTGGAAGAAACGGGGCAGTTCCCCATGAAGTCCAGCTAAGCAAGCCAAAGTCAGAGAGGGCTTTAACCAGACAGAGCCAGTTAAAATGCTGAGCAGGTGGGAAGTGACATAGAATCATCGAATAGTTTGGGTTGGAAGGGAACTTAAAAGGTCATCTAATCCAACGCCTCCTGCAACGAGCAGGGACATCTTTAACTCGATCAGGTTGTTCAGAGCCCTGTCAAGCCTGACCTTGAATGTTTCCAGGGTTGGGGCATCTACAACCTCGCTGGGCAACCTGTGCCAGTGTTTTACCACCCTCAGCGTAAAATATTTCTTCCTTATATCTAATCTAAATCTGCCCTCTTTTAGTTTAAAACCATAGCCCCTTGTCCTATTGCAACAAGCCCTACTAAAAAGTCTGTCCCCATCTTTCCTGAAAGCCCCCCTTAAGTACTGAAAGGCCACAATAAGGTCTCCCTGGAGCCTTCTCTTCTCCAGGCTCAACAACCCCAACTCTCTCAGCCTGTCCTCATAGAAGAGGTGTTCCAGTCCTCTGAGCATTTTTGTGGCCCTCCTCTGGACCTGCTCCAACAGGTCCATGTCTTTCCTGTGCTGAGGGCCCCCAGAGCTGGATGCAGTACTCCAGGGGGGGCCTCACCAGAGCACATCACACTCCGCACTTCCAAGCAGCGCTTTCAGTGTACACCAGCAAGGGTGTCCTGGCTCCCGCCATGTGCCAGGGCTTCAGTCCTCCTGGCCGCATGCTCACAGCCTTGCCAGGGGATGCTTTGTGTTGCAAAAAACAGAAAGAAAACAGGGGTTGAGGCACGGGAGGGACATGCAGCCACTTGGAAAATGGTGCAGGTTGCACGGATTGTGTGCCCCGTGCTGGGGGGGGACACGGCAAAGCCTGGTGGTACTGGGGGGGGGGGAGTACCAGCACAGAGGTACCCTGCACTGCTAAGGGGCTGTTGCACGGGACCAAAGAAGGGCCGGGAGCCCACAGCAGGGCCCGGCAGCACCGGGGGCGAGGGGGAAGGGAAGGGTACCCGGTGTGAGGCGGGGGCAGGGCGTCGGTGCCGTGGGGCCACAGCAAGGCCCAGATGAGGCCCGGCGAGGGGGGGGAACGCCTATCCGCGGAGGCGGCGACTCTTTCGCCCTCTTTCACCCCAAAAAGCCACGGCCAGGCGAGGCGTGGCCCCCACTCCCATGGTGGCGATCTCTCGGCGGGGACGGGCCGGAAGCGGAGCCGGAAACGCCGGCGCGGCCTCGCCCCGCCTCCGCCGCGCCCCACGCTCTCGTCCCCGCCGCCATATAAGCGGCAGCGACGCTCACGCCCGCGCAGCTCTCTGTCGGTGGATACCGGGCGCCATGTTCGCCGTGAAGCGGAACGCCGTCATCGGCTTCAACCTCTACTGCGGCGGCGGCCCGGCCCTGGCGCCCGCCTCGCCGGGGGGGGG